AAGTGTTATAATTCAAAATTGGGCACGGGAAGAAGTCAAATATCAATTAGCTACCAAGTGGAGGTGCTAACTGAGTAGAGGATACGAGAAGAAGATCTTATATTTAACAACCCACTCCCATTTTTCCAAAAGCTTAAGCCAGGAGAGGTAGAGCAAGAAATTTTCATGAAAAGCAAATTGCTACCTTCTAACTTTTGTATCTATAATCTTCGATCCTAAAACTTTAGGGGTCAATTAGATAGAAAACTATTAAAATCTTCATTTTTTTTTATCTATAATCCTTCTTCCTTCTTCCTTCTTCCCTCTGGTTGGGTTATATGGTATATTCAATCTTTAATATATATCCTCAAGTCTCAACACATCTCGCTCTCGTATTTGGGCTCAAATATCAGTTTGATTTGGAAATATAACACGTGAACCTTCAATATCGATAGGAGAGGAAATGACACTGTAGAGGTTAGAACTCAAGACCTACAACTTTTAGTACTATACTAAATCACTATTAGACTCAATAACTTAACTATATATATTTAATATTGAATAAATTACAATTTTGGTCGCTGAACTTCATGTGACTAGTGTCTAAACTTTAAAAAATTTATAATAACTCCCTAAACTGTCAAGGTTGTCTCTAATAAGTTTCTACCCTAAACTCTATGGTTTCAACACTTATTATCACAAAATTAAAATTTTGAATGGCCTGTTGAAATCCTTTTAAAATATTGAGACTACCAGACACAACTCCTTTTAAAATATTGAGACTAATAAACACAGCTCAACGTTCATGACCTACAACAGGGGACTAAATAGACACCATTCTAAAAGTTCATGAAAAGTTTACTCTTAATCTTTTACATACGCTCTTAACAGGCCCAGTACTAAAATTTGTATTGGGAAAAGAAAACATGAAATAGTTCCAAACTCAAGAACAATGTTAACCAATCGACACATTGAAAACCACTGTTTAGAATGACAGAGCATCAGGGGCCAAGAATGCATTCATAACAACAAAATTCTTAATCAGGAGGTAAAGGGCATTGAAATTACAGAAGGATAATCGGGGCAACCAAGTCGCAAGAACCAGTCCGCCATTGTAGCCGCCGAGTTCAATCTTCACTGTGTTTTCCGCCGTGACCGAGAGCGAGGGAAGTGAAATCTTCTTCTCCGTTGGAAAATTGGAAAATGGGAAATGCAAATGCAAGGCGGACGAAAAGATTCTGAAAGCCTTAAAAGAAAAAAAGGAAAATTGATCACAAAACCTTTGACATTTTCCACTTGGCACGTCACAGTGGCACTCCGCCACCATCTTGGAAAATGGAAATAAATATTCCATTATATGTGTGTATATATATTTAAGCTTTTTGTTTTTGTATTTATTTACTCTATTTTTTATATTATTTGAATTGCTAAACTTTGATATTAATATCATTTTGTATATATATATCAACCTAGGAAGTTCAATTTCAAATTATTCAAATTCATAATTTTTTTTGTTAGGACTTTATTTTACTTGGCATATTAATATTATATTTTAATTCCTACACTTTTCATAGGAATATTAATTAAATTTGTGCATAGTTGAACTAATATTAGCTTTTCATCGAAAGTTCAAATTTAAAAAACAAAACAACTAACACTAGTAAATTTTCTTAAAAAGTCAAAAATTCTAAATCCCTACTTCATAGTTATAGTATTACATGAAAAAAAAATTATAAATACTATGCAAATTATTTATTTGAAAACTTTTTACTTCAAACTTTATTTTCAATATTTGTAAAAATGATCATCTTACCACTGTATACTAAATCTTTTTTTTCCAGATTTTTTTTAGTACAACAAATAACTGAATTCATAATCTTTTAATAAGAGACAAGTATAAATTACTGTTGAGTTAAACACATATTGAGAGCAAGATTTTAAATGTATAGAAGTTGTATTATACTAGTTCGGAAGAAGATATCAAAAGGAAAAAAATTGAAGGACTAAATCGTAATAATATAAAAGTAGAGTTTGCAATATGGGGTAATTTTGTATTTTGGTGTCTTTTCCAATAAAAATTAGTATCACAAAAGATGGCTTGGCGCGCATGCAAAAGACTGAAAATTTCTTTAGTGCTTTTTATAAAGTGCTGGTGGAGCGCATGCAAATGCGTTGTTAAAGTGGGTTTCATACGTGTATTCCACAACAATAAAGGTTACTAATTCTAAAATTTTATGTAATTATTTTTAGGCAAAATTAGTGTGTAATACGTCTAACTTTCAATTTAGTATGTTTACTAGATTTTTTTTTTTAGTTTATTGATTTTAAACTTAACTTTTAATTTTGTATTCCGACCTGTCTAATATTGTCTAATGAATTGTTTTAAGAAAGTATTCCAATTTCCGAAGACATCTGCTCGTGGTTGCTAAGTTAGGAGAGAGATTTATTAGATGTAAAAATTCATAAACTTAAATAATTATTTAAGTTTATGGACTTATTTAGACATATAGGGTTGAAAGTTTATGGACCTATTATATATTTTTAAAAATTCAATGATTCTATGAGATGTTCTTTCTTTTAAGTTTAAAGACTAAACTTGTTACTCGGCATTTTTTAAAATTATTTTAACCTTCATATTTTATTAGGAGTCTCTATACCCCTTGTATTAATCGAAGTATATGAATGAGCAATAAATTAAAATATTTTTTTATTTTGAATATAGGAAGCTTATTGACCCTCTTTACTTGTTAAAGAAAAATAACTCTGTTACAAATAAAAACTATAAACATCAAAATGTTAATTAGGAGTCGCGAGCAGTGCAAGAGAAAAAGTACTGGTGTATATTAACCCAATGGTTATTATCAACTTTTCTGTCCAATTTATTTGTTTATTTATTATTATTATTATTTTAAAGTAGAGATTTTTATTCATCAAGTAAAAGGGGTCACATAAGCTACATTTGATAAGATTCAACTCTCTCACTATTGGAATTTTCAATAATTTGAGCCACACATATAATTAGATCAAGAGGTAATCTAATTATGTTTAAGTATTGGTTTAATAGAATATAAAATAACCATGGATAAAATGTAGAGATACATTAAAATAAATTCTAATTTGATGAGCCGTCAAATTGAAATATCAAAACCTTATAACTGATCCGTAGTTTTTTGTCGATCGGTTGTAGAATGGTTATGATCCCATGTCAGAGCAATCACAACTTTTATTTTTCATCCCTTCAGGGAGAGAACTCTTCTTCTTCTACAAGAATACACAGTAGAAACATAGGAAAATCATGATTTATCTAGATTTGGAAGATCAAACCCGTACGTTTCCACTTTCAATTAATTTTTTTAACCTCTTCCTCGCGGATTGAAGCAATTGGCAATTAGGATTGTTTTTTGCGACCAAAGAGGGCCTACGGATTCTCCTTCTTCCTCTATCGTAGCAGAGTCATCTCCATCTCGACGCTTGAATGGTTTTCCCCGACTCTACAGCAAAGGAAAAATTCTTTCTCTAAATCAGGCCAGTTGGTCTATTGTGTACTCTCCCAACATCATTCGTCCATCTGACCATCATGGATCAATATACACTTCCGTTTCTTTAAATTTAACATGGGAAGCCGATCATATATGGCTTTAAGTTTTGAGTTTTAATTTTTCCCAACACTTACTCCCGTAATTAGAGATAATATACTTGATAGTAACATGCTATTTATGACGAGAATGCCCGTTCTTTTCATGTATTTCAGCATATCACATGCCACATCGATGTTGATTTCGATGTATCCAGAAGGTGGTGGGCATCAAGGGGGCTCACTGATCAAATTTGTGGCATGACTATCAAACCTTCCAATCTAAACATAGACTGACGACACATCAAATAAATTACCATGAAATATACAACCTTCTAAAAACTGATGCCACAGATGATGATATTCCATTTTGTTCTCATTCTTTAGGTCCAACAAAAAAACCTTTAACTTGTGGTAAACGTCAGCATGTTCAAACACTTTTAAATGTAAAAATGTGTATCTAAAAGAAGACTAAAATATATATTTATGTTATAATAAAATTTTGTAGTGTTTTAAAAAACGAAATCTGAACATCAAATGATATATTATAACATGAACATTAAGAAATTTTGTGAACATAAATATGTATCTTTTAAGCGATTTCTTATTACCAGCTCTAAATGGGCAGACAAATTTTCAACAATAGGATCATTTTTCACCTTCAAACCTCAAATTAAAAGCATGTAAAATGAGTCTTATTTTTTCCCATTGATCTAAAACCTTCATTTGATTCCCTTTTATTTTTTCTTGATAAGGAAAATACTGAGACATCGATTGATGAACTGTCGATTTTTAAATATTTTCCTCTTAATAATCTAAGTCTACTCTTTATAAAGAGAGATTCAACCACACTCAGAGATGACCATATTCCATGTAATAAATTTTGGAGATGATGTCATTGATCACTTGCCCAATAATCCTCCATAAACTTCACTCAACTTTTTGAAACTTGTCTATCCATATTTTTAGATATAACAATTATAGGACCGAATTTTTGTGTTGTTTCACGCTCCTCGTCGCACCCTCCACCTCAGTCTTCAAAGATGGGGGCACCGAGAGTAGAGGAAAGGAGAGAGAACAATTATATATAAAAAAAAAATAAAAATCAACTGTATTAACTAGTTCATCACTTAAAATTAGTCATGAAAGAAGGAAATTAAGTTGTGGTATATAAAAAATAAAACTTTTCAAGATCGATGTAGAAATTTGAAGAAATATATCTATTATTCTAGTGTATTGAGATAACTCATTAACCATTTAAGCTCAACAACAAGATGGTCAATGAGATTCAAACTTCCAATCTTATGGTAGACATATGGCTATATATACCTCGAAGTAACGTATCACTTTATGATCACCCACTTGTATATTTCGTAACGAAAACTAGATTATTAAAAATAGTGTAGAATTTGGTGATGATATTATAGTGTCACTCTCAAATACTAATTTAGTAGCAAAGCAACCAAAGTACCAACATTCTTATCAGGCATCACATGGTAGCAGCCAAGGAAACATATTTCCATCTCTCTCTCTCTTTTTGTTGGGTTTTGGACATTCAAACAGAGAATTGCGCCAAAATCTTGAAATTGCGAATCATCTGCAGATCTCACACATTTATTCACAAATATAATAATGGAATTGCCGTTGCCGTTKCCATTGCCCCCACTCTCGAATCTTCATTCATTATCCATTATTTGGGCCCTTCCACAGCTGTCTCTGTCTCTGTCGCCGAGCCATTGGTTTATCAAATCAACGCTCTTCCTCCTCCACTCCACTCAAATTGAAGCTTGGCTCGCTCGCTCGCAAAATGCACGCCTCGCACTCGCCGCACCTTGCATTCTCCTTCCTCATCCTCGCCGCCGCCGCCGCCGTCGTCTCCGCCACCGACCACATCGTCGGCGCCAACCGCGGCTGGAACCCTGGCATCAACTACACTCTCTGGGCCAACAACCACACCTTCTTCGTCGGCGACTTCATCTGTAATTTTCTCTCTCTTTCTCCCTAATAGCTAGGGTTTCACGGGAGAGACTACAATTTAAGTTCGTGTATAATCTTTTTTATCCTAGAAATGTTGAATCTAAGATGAACTAAGGGGGAAATGGCCCTATATTTGGCAGCATTTAGGTATCAGAAGATCCAATACAATGTGTTCGAGGTGAACCAATCAGGGTACGGCAACTGCACCACAGAGGGGGCGTTTGGGAATTGGAGCAGTGGCAAAGACTTCATCCTTCTCAAGGAGGCCAAAAGATACTACTTCATTTGTGGCAATGGGCAGTGCTACAATGGCATGAAGGTCACCATTCTTGTCCATCCTCTTCCTCCTCCTCCATCTTCTCCCCTTGCCGCCAAGCATTCCTCGCCCTCGTCTGCCCCGGCCCGGTTGGGTTCTTGGCCGACACGGATTCAGGCTCTGCTCGTTTCTCTGGCTTTGATCTGGTTTGGATCTGAATGGATTTAGTTTTTTCTTATCCATGGCAGAAAACAACTAGTTTTAGTTCTGAAATCCTTTCTGTGTTTTAGATTTGGTTAGAAGAATTGTGTGTGTCTCCCAATTTCCAAACTTGTGGGAAGATCAGGAAGGAACATTGGTTTTGGTTGATTGTTTTTTACTTTTGTGGGGTGGTTTTGAATGCTTGGTTCGTTCTAATTTGTAATGACAAATCCCATTCAGGTTGTTGAATTTCCTCTTCAGTTGCCCCCAGATTGTGGGAGAATGAGCATTTGTCATGGTTCACAAATTATTATATGCATAATTATATTATAAAATAATTTGAAATAATATCAGTATGTATAACGTATATGTTTATAATCTGTAAAAGCTAACATATGCCATATGGTACTAGAAAGCAAATTTCATAAATCTGAGTTAATATAACTAAATTTAAACATCTTAGTCCTACGATAAAACTAACTTATGGACTAAACATAAGTTCAACTTCTTAACTTCGAGTTATACGAGTCCTGAGTGACTCAGAAATTTATGGTTGCTTTTGTGATTTTTTCTTTTTGTTAAAAACTATCTTTCAATTGTAATTTTTTTTAATCCAAAACTGGTTTTTTATTATTTTTCACCAACAGCCCTAGCTAACAAATATAAGAAGATCATTCCAACAAATAAACATACAGGAAAGAGAGATAACAGCCTTTGAATTAAGTTGGAAGAATTGGAAGAGATGAGCCAAGTTTTTCCTACATCTCATGTTAACATTAATCAAGAGAAGGGAAAAATAATAATAATACTATGAATGGCATCCCATTTTGTTACCTCCAACTACCCATACAGTACGACCAATTTTCTTGTATGCCTTAATATTTAAAGTGGCATCAGTCTTTTGTATCTAAAAAACCAAACAAATGCAGAAAATATGATGATTCCACTTACTCCAGTAATAACAAGGACCCACTTGAATGCTTCAGGATACCCAAACATTGGTATTTCAAAATTCATGCCAAAGATTCCTGCTACCACCCCAAAAATGGCAACGACAAATGTTGCGGTAGTGAGTAGTAACTCGAACTGAATCAACTGATTTCGTACATTATCCTGCATACGAAAACATTTTTGGTAATTGATGGAAAAAACAGAGAGATGCGACAATAAGATTGTCGACCAGTGTTGTTATCTAATTCGCATATGGTCATCTAACTGCACAGCTGTCTCATGAAAAAGCATCAAGTTCTGAATTTTTATTAAGCATTGTTTAACATGGGTTTTCTTTAGGAGTTAACACAAAGTTCTCCTTCAAACAAAAACAAAAAAAGGTTCAGTTTCCTGTAGCGAACATGACAGGGGAGCAAGTTAGAAGCATTTAACCAACATGTAAATTCGCTATAGTTCATATGCTTTCTTGGTTTCAGCACTATCAGCTTAATTTGCAGCGGCTTGAAAGATTTTGTCAATTTCAGGAGATCACTAATCTCAGAAAAAAGAGAGAAAACATGAACTAACAAAAGAAAAAAAAAAGTAATGAAACATGAACTAACAAGAGAAACAGAGAAAACATGGTCATACCAACTGGATGTTGATGAAATCTTCTGTGTCATCGATGTACTCCTTCAACTAAAAGGAAGGAAATGAAATAAGAATGTAACTTCATCCTAAAGAGGAAAAAGAGAGAAGAGAGAACTAGTTTTCTTTTTAGTTTGTATGCTTACCGATGTCAACTTGTTCAGGGTGCTATCAATGACAACAAAATAAGCTTCAAGCAGCATCTCAAGCTCCTCTATATTTTCAGTGGCACTTTCTGAACTTCTCATGCTCTCATGCCGGCTCCTTGCAATGCTCAGGCTCTTCTCAAGCTTCCGAGTTTCAGGCGGTGAAGATACAGGAGAAACGGGAGCAGAAATAGATGCTCCATCAATTGATCTGTATCCCGACACGGACTGATCACCATAAACAAAGGACTCCATTCTCATTTTCTTCTCAGTGAGATACATTTCTGCCATATCTCCATCATCATCCATGAGCTGCTCTATTTCATCCCTGACCTAAAAAGATGTAGCTCAAATAGAGAACAACGACAGGAAATGGTGGGGCCACCACTTGCAAAAACCAGGATCACTAGATGTGAATGCAGAATACCTTCTGAACCCTACGAGTTAGGGCAACAAGTCTGCTCTTCAAGCGACGGACACGCTCCAAATTTAATGTACTGATTTTTGATGTAAGTTCATCTAGCAATGGATATGCCTCGATTTCTAATTCTGCAGCCTTTGGTGAAATGAATGATTATAAATAAATTATCAAGTGCCAATCTAAGAACCACGCCTGAAAGCAATACTGATATGTTCAAATGCATCTAATAAATAAAGATGAACGTCCATGGACACCATGATCCATAAAGTGTGTAGTTAGGCTTCATGTCAAACGAGTTAGAATAACAACAATGTCTTATGCAAAATATAGGTGAGGTTCCTCAGAGGCAAGTTCAGATGTTAACTGACATGGGAATACTAACTAACTGTGAAATGAGTAAAGCAACAACGCCACAGAAATCACATTGCCTGTCAAAGTATCATTAAGAAATGAGGATTATTTTAATATTTTAATAACATGAGATGAAATAAATAAATATTTTCTCCAACAAGACAAGTAGACAACATTTTTCTTCAAAATAGAACAAAGTTGCAATCTTTTCCCCACTTCACGATATATCAAAAGGCTATTTGCTTTATTTGCTAATATGTTTTAAATGGCTGTACGAAAAGCATTACTTAATGAAAACACATACAATTAACGCGTGGGAAGTGAAACAAATAAAAACAAACAGCTCAAACTTCTACTTCTACACACCTGAGAATCAAGAAATGTACAAGCTGCCTCCAAAGCAACTTCTAAAGCCCTAAACTCAAAGGGCAAATAATCAGGAGAGGTGCTTCCAAATACATTATCAAAATTCCTACTTCCCCTTCTTCGATTTAAGTCAGTTCCATGATTTGCATCATTCTGCCAAACTTCATCAACCCCAGTGGTTTTCAATCGCCTTTGTAGCTCTACCACATACTGAAATACATAACTATCAAGAGAATTTAGCAGCAAGACTTCTTCAGCTGTTATAATACATCGAATCTGCTCTAGATTGACCACAATAGCCTTCTCTCTACCAAGAATTGTTGAAGGGTAAACAAACAAAGGATCGAGCAAGCGCAAATCACGAGCAGGTAGATCACAACGACGCATCATGGTGAACTTATCGACCTCAATGATCTGGGAATTCCCAGAGGAATCTACCCGGATCCAAGATCTAAGTCCCTGGCCTCGCTTCTTCAGCCCTAAAACATCCACACCTTGAAAAGGCAGCCTTCCAGAGGCTGATGGTCGATTATTAATTCCCTCCCTAAGATTTATAGCAGATGCAGGTTTCGGAGGAAGCAACCGCTCTTTGAGATCCGCCATTTACAGAGATATCTAAATAGAACAACACACAACATTAATGAAATAAGCACACTCCTAATCACCACTATATATATTATAGCGCCCGTATCAATTCAATCAATCATGCACTCCTAGCACAAACAAAAAAATAATCAGAAACATGTAGCAAATATTTTCGCATCTTAAACGCAGCAGTGATCAAATAATACACCTACAATGCTCGTGCAGTCTACAAGTGAAAGTCACCCACCAATTCCCAGAAAAATCTATTTCTGACCCGAAAAAATCCAACTCAATAGGCGTAAATGCCAGCCGCAGGTATCAAATCACACATAACGAAATAATAGAAAGACGAAAGGAAAAAAGAAAATCACCTCCAAAGTAGAACTGATACGGCGGTCCTCAGAGAGCGTAGAAGCGGATTACTTGTATCGGGCTCGGAAATGACAGATTTCGGAGCAAAAACCAATTGAATCAATGATTCGACAACAGCAAATTAAGGAAAACCTAGATTTCGGAGGCGAGCGAAGGAAGCAACAGAAGGCAGAGAAATCCGAGCGGCATACGTGAAAGAAGTGGAGACTGAGAGAAGTTTCATCCTCAAGTTTTTCCGCAGACAGAGATTGAAAACGGAAGCGATGATCGATCGAGGAAGAAGAACCAAGACAACCCAACCAGGTTCAGGAATCTCTCTCATGCTCCAGTGTTGCTGACCATATCATCATATCACAATTCACAATCAATATTAACTGTCAATTATCACTTTTCAATAAATGGCACAAATTTAATTTTAAGGATAAAATTTGAAAGGGCTTTTTTTTTTTAGTTTAAGACTCTCTATTGTTATTTTTCCCAATTATATGATATGTGCAATCTAATACATCTGTAGGTCTCGGATTTAGTTCGTGAATTTGAAAGTATAAAAGTTAAATAATTTTTTTAGTACAACATGTAGGGTGAGTAATCGAAGTCACGATCTTTTAGTTAGAGATATATGTTCGTTTTTTACTAAAAGCTAAATAAATTAAACCTTCAAAATTCATGAAAATGAGAGATATAATTAAAACTTTCAAAACCTTGAGGTGAAAAATTGAAACAAGGATGACACACTTTATATATAATTTAGCTTAATATCTTGAAAGTTTTATGATGAAACTGTCCATCTCTCTGAAATTGAGGTGAGTTGAGTTAACTCAGGAGAGTGGTACTTTTTGGCGCATACATTTTCTTAAAATAATGTGACTAAAATACCAAGAGAGAAAAAAAAAAAAAATATATATATATATATATATCCTTCAACTTTAATATTTATTTCGTGTGAAGTGAACTGGTGCCATACATTTTGGGACTGCCAGAGCAGAAGAAGCTCGCTTCCCAATCCTCTCTAAAAACAAGTGGCGGGGAGGTGGCCAGTTGAAGGTGTGCGTTTTCTTTTAGTATTTTGATTTAATTTTTTTAGGGTGTTTCACTCTGTTTTGTTTGGGTTTCTCTATGATTTTTTTCTTAAGAAGTAGTATCGATCTAATATAATAGAGACCTATTTTATTGTTCTGGAGGTAATTTTCGAAGAGGATTCTTCTTCCATGCTGGTTTCTGTGATGACGAATGGTGGCTAGGTATCGGGGATCATTCGTTGGATGTTGATAACGTTTTTGCGGCTGACAAAATCAAAGGTAACATTGTTATATATGGAAATCCGCCTGCAATCTCTTAGAATGACTCTTCATTTTTGTTTCATCTTGGTTAGTCAAAGGGCAACAAAGACATATCAGAATGTGGGTGACAGCAGGGTGCAATGGCGATCGATTTGAATAATATTTTGGAATCTAGGGAAGCTATCCGTTTTAATTGTATTAAGAATCGTGACTAGCATGATTGAGATAATTTGTCTAATATTTCTTTACCTGTCATGGTGGAGAATAAGGCAAATTTTGAAGCAATTATTTCCCTTCTATTTGTGAGTAGGGTGCCATAATCGATAAGATACCTCCATTAATTTAGTATTATCCCTCGACATCATTGAATGAGGTTTATGATGTTGTGACTTTGGAAAAGGTGTTTAGTGGGCTATAATTTTTTAATATTAATAGTTATTTGAATAGGCAAGCTGTTTTATTTGTCAAACTGTGCAATTTCTAGTCGTTTCTCTGTCTCTTGGGACAATTGTTTTCCTTTGTGGATTGTAATGGTGATGTGTGGTCACCACTCCTCTAATGTAACCTTTGGTGGTCTTATTTCTTGTTAATGCAATGCTTCTTTATTTCCAAAAAATTAATATTTATTTAAAAATACCTCTATCTTTTTAAAAGTGTCAATTGTATCATTGACTTTTCATAAAAATTTAAAAAATATTCATTGGTTAATATTTTGAATGGAAATTTGACGTTTTAAATCTAGAAAAAACGATATATCAATTAATGTGAAAGCTTATATATACTAAATTTAATAAGAGAGAAAATGTAAAATAACTTATGGTTTTCAAAAGGATATTTCATATGTGGGCAAGACCGGATATAATATGGCTTCTTTTCCAACAATATCTTCGTCTACATTTTTTTCTCTTTTCATACTTAACTCATACAAGTTTCTACATCAATTATCACATTATTCTATATTTTGTCACGTCAACTTTCTATTAAAACATATTAACGAATATCTACTTAAATGATATTTCTGAAATGTTTATAAAATGTCAAATGTGGTATTAACACTCTTGGAAAGATAGATGACTATGGTTCATAAGTTCTTTTTTAGCCAAATATTATTTACAATAAATAAATAATTAAGTAGTTTTTTCTCTCGAAAAAAATTCTAATTTAAAATAAAATTTTATAACTTTCAAAAGCTTTTTCTTTCCACGTATTTATGTCTCAATTATCGAGTTATGCTGGTATTTCAAAAATATTATTTTATTATTTAGTCGGACATGGTAATAAATTTGAAGTTTAATTATAACTAATTAAGAAGACCTTTTACCTTTTGGTATGCATAAATTTGGGTAAGTGTGCCCTAAGAATGAATTTGAGGGGGCAAAATAGTGAGAGGAAAAGGCCTGGTCATCAGTAATTTGGGACCCACCCAACAGGACCAGTGAGGGGAAAATTCGTTGAGGAACAAGGAACCAAGAAACATAAATTATTGCAACTACTCTAATAGTTAGTTTTGAAAAAGAGGCCTCTTAATTTCAATTGAACCCTTCTTTTTTTCTTTTAATTATTAATCTTGGGAAAGGGATCTTTAGCAATCATTTGAGTGGTAAAATTTCTTGTATTATACGGTATGATACTGCTTCTATTTATTCGTCGTCTATCGTCAGAATCATGTTAAAATTATGTGGGGTCTATTAATATTAAAGAATTATTTATAAAGATAAAATTATAGTCTGAACAAAGAGAATAAGTATTTCTATAGTACTGAAAATTTTTCAAATTTAAACCCACACGATTCAAAATGGCATTAACGAAAATTGTGGGTATAAGGATTTGAACTTTTGACCTAAGGGAATAGTTAAATATTGTTTATTACTAAACTAAGCTCATGTCAGTAGAAAAGTGTTAAACTTAAAAGTCAGCCTCCCAATTTATTGTGTTCGAAAATTAGTCGGGTTGAAATTTTAAGAACTAAATCTTTGCAATTAAGCAATCTAACTCCTACCTACAAAATAGGTTAAATTACAAGTTCAGTCTCTTAATTTTCGGGTTTGTATAGGGTAGGTCCTTTGAACTTTAAAAAACATCTAATAGATTTTTTGACTTTTGATTTTGCATCTAATGGATGATTGAATTTTATTATTATTATTATTATTTTTTGAGGCAAGGATGATTGAGATTTATAAAGTACCTAATAGGTTCTTAAATTTTAAATTAGGTGTCATAAACTTTCAATTTGTGTATAATAGGTCCTTGACTCATTGGACAATATACAAAATTGAAAACTTACCATCCTATTAAACATAAATTAAATTTTATGGCTAATAGATTTGTTACTTTTAATTTTTGTTTTGTTTTTTTTTATTTTGAAAGTTAAAAACTTATTATACAAGTTCTTATTAATCACAAAATTGAAAATTTGATAATATGTCTGACATTTTTTTTTTTAATTTAACCCTATCAAATATTATGTCAATCCAAAGCAAGTTCTTCCTATACATTTTCCCCTTTTTTCTCATAGACAAATAAACGGTCTCTTTTTTTGAACCTTTATTTTCAACCAAATTTCTTTTGTTTAGCTTTCCTTGACATTGTGATATTGATTTCAAGGCATGCATTAAATGAAGGATATTTAACTAACTAAAAAGAAAATTATTGGGGTATTGGTGGATTAGTACCTATATTTTACTGACCACTCTATCAATTTTGATAAATAGGAGAGAAAAATACGAAAAAAATACATTTTTTCAGTTTTGTATATAAAATAATTACTTACGAAGAGAAAACCAAAGTAAACCTTGCTTACGAAAAGGTTCAATCTATCGTCATATTTGTTGTACTAAAAAAAATTACTTAGGAATAGAAGGGCATTTATATAATTATCTTTATTTTTTGTCATTTCGTATTTTTATCCAAAAGCAGGTGAAGTGTGATATTCTGTCTCTGGAGGGGTATTCTTGCAAAACAACCTACCGTTAAAAGGATATAGATGTAAAAAAAAACCACAATGCAAAAAGGAGAAAACAAGCGATGACGTGGACTTCATTTTGTGGCCCATTGCAATTCATTGTTGGCGCACTACCCAAAAAGGATAGAAATTTCAAACAATATTTACAAATTTTGTTATAACTGTTTTAGAATAATTTATAAACTTAATCCATTCTTATTATCAAGGAAAAAAAAACTTTCCTTGGTCTAATTAAAGATATTTTAATTAAATTAAATAAGATACCGAAATAAATGTGTACAAAGTCGCCAAATCGAACATAGCTCAAGTGGTTAAGACACATATCAAAAACTTGTACAAAGTCGTAATAAAAATGCAATCCACTCACATCATACTGTCGCTCAATTACTCCCATAGTCTCTATAAACGATCCATTAGCAAAGGTGCTTTCAATTAGTAAAGTAAAATCATTCTTTTAATTCTCTATTGATGTAGGTTACCGTAAGCAATAATATTAAAGCACTTTCTTTCTAGTAGCTGTTAAGTTTTAGGATTTATTTTATTATTATTATTATTATTATTATTATTATTATTATTATTTTGGTTTTTGTAGAACCACATGACTAGAGCTATTGCATTGATAGGTGGAGCTTACTGGTACCGTAAAGCATGAATTTCATCCTTCGAAAATGTTGCTTTATAACTCTTTTAGCTTGAGCTAGTGTAATTTATATCCTTTCTTGTGCCGAGTGGTAAAAAATGCAATGATTTAATGTGTTTTAGATGGGATGTAACACCACTAAAAGCATGATGGTTACTGTTTTGGTGTGACCTTTGTTTATTTGCAATTTGTTGTATTAGAACATGACCCACTTGATTTGATAACTAATATATACTTGTACTACTAAAAAAAATAATAATACTAGACACGTGTGGAGAGTCCTTGTCGAACCTCTTGAACTCATTCTAAACATATCTCTGGTTTAATTGGTACGTCAACATCTCATAAACATGTAGTGTAGAATTGAATTGCATAGACTTTAAATAAGAATCTAGATCAACTAATCAGAAATTACTTTATTTTAAAAAAATTTGCTTATAACATATCTTATCATCTTTTAAGTAAATTAAATAAATATTCATCCATACAAATTCAAATAATATAATGAAGAATATGAGTTGATATATTAACCAAAAAAAAATAATAATTAAAGATAGAATAAAAAATGACAATGATGTAGTTAGAAAACGATTATGTAGATTCATCCTATAGTCTAAAATTTATTATTTATACTTCTTTTTTTTTACAGACAATGACTATTTATACATACTTTATAGTTTGATAATCAGTAAATTAAAATTATTTGCTTACTTTTTGTCACATTATTTAATTTACTTGCTTACTTTTTGTCACATTATTTGTCACATTACAGGGATCAATTGGCTGTAAAAAAAAAAAAAAAAATCATGTTTTCTAAATTATTAACCTGAATATAATATAAATTTTCGATTATAAACTTTAGTTTACAAATATATTATTAAACACTTTTATCCAAAAAAATTATTTAAAAACATCTAACAATCAACTGGTAGAGTGACCAACCCTTTTATGATTAAAATACTCAAGAGATTATTGCTAAGAAAAAGTTCAAGATAAAAGAAAAGAAGTACTTAGACTAAAAGATTAATAATTCTTATCACCAACTTTTATTTATTTATTTTAAGAAAGCAATACAATTTATTTTGGTATGAGTGGATAATATTGGACAAAACGAGTAGACTTTGACAAAGCCCAAAGGCAGAGAAAGATAAAAGAAACACAATGCCCCCACAACTTTGAAAGAAAGTTGAAACGCCTTCTCAAATATTATTAAAAGCCAAGGGGGCCAAACTGTCAAACCCCTCTTCTCTTGACATTATTATGTACAAAAAATTAAAAAAAAAACACTTGAAAAAAAGGGGAGAGAAATTGGACAAGAGGTTTTTCTTTTCAAACTTTCCCTCTTCTCCATTCTATATACAACAAAACAACCATCATTTCAATTCATTTGGACGTTGATAGATTATGGACCAATTCTATTAACAAATTATGTTCCAAATTTCTTCAGATGTACGGATTTATGTGTGATGAATAGTCCCGAATTCCAGCTCCTTCCCAACCCATCCACTCCTCCCACATGTCCCAATCTGGATCCTCCATTCCCCTCATCGGCTCCTCGGCGTACGACTCGTCGTAGGTCTCTATTGGCGTCGATATGCCTCTTAAATTATTCATCACCATCTGTTCAACGAAAACATAACTCTATTGGTAAAGAAAAAAGATACTCATCATTCCTCTTAAAAGTTTCAAAATTATTATCCATCTTCACCGTTAATATTTTGAACAAAAACTTAGATTGATGCAACAATTAATGTCTTAATTTTTGCTCTAATTTCTCTTTAAAAAGGATAGTTTCTCCTCTAATTTAGGGTTCAAACTTTCATGTTATTCTAAAAAGAATCCAAAAACAGTACCCAAGAATAGTATTGAAAATAGAGGTTTTGATTTTTGTAATTTGGCCTTTAAAATTTGTATCCTCGTGAGTCGTGATGAATGTTAGACCAAATTTATATCATGATTTGACAAATAATTAGAGCAAATTCAATGTTACAATTAAAATATATGTATGAAAACAACATAAACCTAACCCAAATATTTCCTTTCTTTCACACGTTCTAAATCTAATGCCATGAAAGGAAGTACAAATAAAATTGTCAAATTCAAAGCTGTCTGACTATTTTTTATGAGAGATTATTAAAATATTGAATTAATTAGTTATTATTACGGTAGTGGCCCAATTTAAAAATATAAATAAAACAGAGCGATTCAAATTCCAAATTCCAATAATTGGTCCTATATTTAGTATAAAATTTAATGAAAAAGATAATGAAAAATAAAGGAGGGTGTGATCACGTACATCGTAAGCTTCGTTGATTTGATGAAACTGCACGCCGCAGTTGCTTCCTCTGCAAACGTCTGGATGATACTGAAATCAAAAATCAAGATCAAACAATCAGAAACAGAATCAGACTCGCAAACAAGCGATTAATCAGAGGAAAATTACAGAAAGAAAGAAAAAAAGAGGGGGGAAATCGCAGGAATGGAACCTGAAGAGCGAGGCGTCGGAAGGCCTTTTTGACCTCGGATTCCGAGGCGCCAGGCTGAATCCGAAGAGTCTGATAAGGATCCGTCAAATACGAAGAAGAAGAAGAAGAACAGGAAACCCTAAGGCTATTCCTGGAAGTCCGATCGTTCTTCTGCCGATTCCTCTGGCGAATCCACGAGGAGGAGGACGAAGCATTCCGGCCGAGGATCCCAGCAGTAGCAGCGGACGCCATGAACAACAGCAACAAAAACAGCAAGAACTCTGAGAAACAGAAGAATCGAAGCAAACAAAAAAGGCGCGGATTTGAGACGATTAGAGAAGAGGATTGAATGAATTGTTAGGGTAAAGGTAAAGGTTAAGGGGGGGATAAATAGGGAGAAGAGAAGGGGAGGGATTTAGATTCGGAGGGTGTGGAGGGGCGAGATCGTGGGTCCCTATCCTGTGGGGGCCACTTTTAGAGAGAGAAAAAGATGACGTGTCCCGTGGTGTAGGGGAGAGAAACTCCTGTTCTTATCTGTTATGTTTGTTTGCTTAATTGGTCCTAGTCATCCTCACACACCTTTTTCTTATCCTCTTCCCTTTTTTTTACCCTATTTTGGTAGAGCCAAGCCAACTCCAGAGAGAGAGAGAATTGGTTTTTAAACAAAAGAATATCCTAGGTTAATTTAAGTCTTTTTACAGCTGTAAATCTTTCTCTCTTTTTGTATGTATGACTGTTGGAGCCACCTAAGGTAAAATTCAATTACAGCGTGTTTGGATATCGTCATAGAAGCAGTAATTTTGAAAAAAAAAAAGATTTAATTAAAAGTTATTTAATTACCTTTAATCTATATCTACATCTATACTATATTAAAATGGGAGGATCTCGGAAAAATATTTTTGGACGCTTTTGTCCCTTTTTTAATTTATTAATTTACAAATTATGTCATTAATAATTTATTATAAATATTAAATTAGTTATTGATTATTAATTATCAATAATAATAAATGTACACCATTAAATTAAATTATTTTCTTTAATTACAATTTATAATAGAACTACAAAAGTTTTGTAACGTTTTATCTCCTAATACTATAAAAACATACTTTCTTTCACTATTTTTTCACAACACTTTAATCTCTCTAAACATTGCTCTCAAATATTATTCAATCTAAAAAACATGTGTCGACACTATATCTTGAATCTAAGGCTTGCGAGATCATCGTTCCATAATTTATGAGGTAAAATAATAGTGATTGTTAAGCATCAACATATTTTAGATTAGTGTATTGATAAACTTTGATTTTTTTTTTGTTACTATTGTTTTGTATTGTTCTTTTATATTTAGTGTTTCATGTATTTAGAATGTTTTTTTAGAAAATAATAATAATGTATTGATCTATTACAAGCTCATGTTGATTTTGTTGAAAAAAAAATTGTGCAAGGACATAAAATTTTAATTAATTGTAAATAGTAAATTAATAAATTAATTATGTACAATAATTTGTATGAAATCTAAAAAGTTGGAATATATAACTTTTTGTCTCTCCCTTTTCCAATAATATAATATAATTTAAAGATTTTTTTTAATAATTTTAATATAATATGAATTTAAATTAGTATAAACTAAAATGTTTAATATATAACGAAATGTTAGCTTGAAATTTTTTTAGAATTTTTAATAAACAAAAAAAATATTTTTAGAAAATAATGGACCAAATTAGATTAAATAACATTGTTAAAATAAAAAATTAAAGTACTTGTACATTTCTTAATCAATATATTAAAAATATGAAATGTAACATAAAATTCTTTAAGAAGAAGGGGTACGAAACAATGTAATTTAAATACACTCATAGATTAAATGATTAAATTAGTAAACTACATATATTTTAATGAAGTTTGTATATATACATTTTAATTTTTTTCTTTTTTTTGTTTATTATTATTATTATACTATTGATGGTATTGTTTTTTCTCATTTATTTATGTTATTATAAAATTAAGTTAAATAGAAAATATTCATGCATTTGCACGAGGTATCGAACTAGTTTTATAAAAGTGGTTTAATTACGAGTGGTTTATGGTGTGTTTGAGAGTGGTGATAGGAGTGATTTTGAAAAAAGAGATTTAAATATAATTTATTTTCCAAAAAATTCCAAATGATACCTTCAAAATTAATTTAAAGTAATTTTAAATTTTCCTATCGTTTGATTTAATGTTATTTTCAATCTCATATAAACTAATACTTCAAAATCCCTTTTAAATGATTTTAGATTTTCTCAAAATTAATTTTATCAATCCATAGATATCTCGATTGATTAAGGTCTAAACTTTGAATTCCTACCTCAACTTTCTTATTTGAACTAAAAAAAAGGTCACTTCAAGTCTAAAGTGAGTGTGGTTGTCATAATGTTTAAAATTCTCTTGTTTATAATTTTAATATAAAAGGTAGAACCATTGATATTTAGAATGATAATAGATAGCATTATCTACTGAAGCATGTTTGGATTCACAGATTTTAACTCCAAATCTTGAAAACATTAGGCTTATGATTATTTTGTTTACTATCCTAATTTAAATATAATATTATTAGATTAAACTTTTTCGAGTAGTATAACAAAAAATCCAACTTGGTTATCCTAAACCCAAGATCTTCTATCAACGAAAATAAATAGTTGTGTTTCCATCTCATTTATCGTAACTCCACAATTATATTTCCTATATTTCTATCTTTCATTTTAACTTTTAAGATTATTGCAAAACAATTTATTATACAAAATATTATTTAAAAATTACAATATTATTTTGTAAGATTGATTACTTTTGATAAAAAATACAAATAAAGGTTATACAATAGATGAATTAATATTAAAAATCTTATTAAAGAAAGAATTGATATTAAATATGGAATCTCCTTTGCCTTTGCGTATTAGATGATAGAATTAGAAAAGGAGAGAATTATATCCTTGAAAATTAGTATTTTAGATTTAAATTGATGAGTAGAATTTTTGTAACGGAATTGGATTAATTCAAGATTGTCCGTTGGTGGGGATTACAGGATATGATCATTGTTCTAAACAAGATCGGCTTCATTCCTTATCTTGAACGTTTCAAAGTCCCTTTCTTTTTTTGTTTCCATTTTTGTCCTCTGAGAGGAGGGATTTTTTTTTCTTTTTTTAATTTCCAATTGAAAAAAATACAAGTGGATCGATTCAACCAGAATTTGGTTTAAGAAAAAAAGAAATAAGGGGAAAAACTAATATTATATTGAAGTTAACTTTTGAAAATTTGAGTCAAATAATTCAAGCTAAGTTAAAATATGTTTTTTTTTGAGAAATAAAAATATGTATTTTTTTTTTAAAGTCCAAATCTCACCCCTATACTATTATCGTTGAATGAAATTAAAAAAAAAATAAATAAATTAAATTGATCAACAGACTTTAAAATTTACCAAATAGATCCAAGTATGATGTGTTCTACATATGTTTTACTTATTTTATTCAAATTTTAATGTATTCATAGAAATGGTATACCCAACATTTAATTTTGAGAAATTTAATCATTTTATTTAGTATAACAAATATATAACATGAAAATTAAAACTTTTAATTCTAAATAAAAGAATGGATATCATTTATTGCTAAATTATACGGTGACTGTTACTATGTCAATCTGAAAGATTTTTTTGCTTATCCTCGCTCATATGTCAATCTCGAAGGATAGATATTTTTATTGCTTGACTTTTTGATTGAAAATCAATCTTCATTTGTAGTACGGCAACCGTTTCGTAATTAAATTCCAGGTCAAAAATTAAAAATGCAAAAATAATTTAACAAATATATGATATGGAATGTTTGTTTTACTCATTTGATTCAAATCTTCCTAATGTATCCAATGGAGATGCCGTACACATCATTTAATTTGAAGAAATTTAGTCACTTATTTTTTTTTGCGAATTTCAATTCGAAACTTTAATCGTGGAAGAAGACGACGTCAGAATCATGCGTAATTATATATAAAATTTCAAACTTTAAAAATTATGTGAAAAAAAATCTTAGTTCATAAAAATACAGTATTAAATTATGCATTTAATTTTTAGATTAAAGATGATAAGAAAATCCAAATTTTTTTGAGTTCAGCGTTATGTGGGACAGGGATTCAGAAATCGAGTTCAGCATTAGATGATTCGTAAACATACAAAAATTTATTTCGATAGAAGTCAAATAAAAATGGGGAGATCAAGATTAATATTTTGAAAGCCTAAAAAAAATTACAGAAACACTAAACACCAAAAATAATAAAATAACAAAATGATTTGTTTTCTTCTTGGGACACCGACGAAAGAGGGTAGGGTTTATGGGAGAGGATAAAACGTGGCGGCCATGTAGACACGTGGCCCGCGGCACGTCTTTTAATGGTCTGAAGGGAAAGCGTTTGACACGTCAGCTGGCACTCAAAACTCGTGCTCTATCAGAGTCAAGACATCAAAATTCAGATCATGTATTATTAAAAAAAGAAAAGAGAGAAAAGAAAAGATAATGTATTATTTGAGATTTAAATTCCATTTTGTAACCGATATGAATTTTTCAGATTATTCTAGTTTGGTCCCTGTTATAGATGAGGATTTTCTGCGAATTCGAATTCCCCGGAGAGATATATACCTTATCATTCAGGATATCCTATATTAAAAAGGAAAAAGATATCTTGATTCTCAGATTCAGATAACCAGATTTGCTAGATATATCAGAATTCGAGTTTTACATTCCTACATGATTAGGATTCAACTCCTTAGTGAGTAAGTCAAATTTGAAGGTATGCTCACAACACTACACTTTATAAATTTGGCAGGATTCCAGAAGGCCAAATTTCTGCATCAATCAAAACTTAAAAAAATGGTTATTTTGGTTATGAAATTTATTATATTTTACCCTATAAACTCTTACAATATTTATTTTAATCTTTAAAGTAAATCTTTTGATTCCCAAGTTATTGTAAACAGTTTTATTTTATTTTATATATCCGTGAATATCTAGGTAGATAGTATGGAGTTTGAACTCATTCCTCTTAAATTTTTTTCTATAATAAAAAGATGAATTCATACCATAGTGATCACCTATCTAAAATTTATTAACGAAGGATTTACTTTTGACAATTAAATATTATAAAATATCTCATGTGGTAAGCAAAACTAAAATTAAAGATTAAAATAAATAGGAGGAAAGTCCAAGGATTAGGATAGTTAATTTTTAGAAATTTAAGTGTTAAAACAAATATTTTTAGACCAAAATAGAATAAATAAATTTCAGGGAAATGGTCTATCTCTAAGTAAAAGAGATTGAGTTTGAACCAAAAGTCAGAAGGTCAAAATATGATTTAA